GCGGCTCGCCTCGTGCTTCCAGCTGGGCTCTTCCCTCTCCCGGTGGCCAGCTCGCTCCTCTCGGAACCGTCTGTCAGGCGACCTCTCCCTCCGCCGGTCGGACGACTTGGCCCGACGGTCGAGGGAACTCTCTCTTCTCCGGTCGGGCGACCTCCTCGGCTCCGTGAGTCTCTCCAGTGACCGCCGCCGGCGGCTGGGCGACCGTTCCCTACGCCTCTCGGGGGAGAGCTCTCTCCTCCTCTCGTGTCGCTCCCGCCTCTCCAAGGTGTTGTCAGCGCTCCTCGTCCCTTCCCTCCTCTTTTCGGGAGACCTCCTCTTCTGCCCGTTCACCACCGTCCTGTCTGGCTGCCTCTCGCGCCTCCTCTCCGGCGACCTCTCCGTCCTCCTGCCTGGCACGTGGTCGTTGGTTTTAGAAGTCCCATTCCAAGTGTGGTGTTCATTGGGATGTCTGCTAAACTCTCTGCTGCCTTTTAGGTCTCTAACGTAAGTCCGCTTGTCCCCATGTTGTGATGATTTGTGAAGGTCTGGTGGATAACTGGACTCCGATGATGGGTGCTGCCGTCGGTCGGGTGGTACGGGTTTCATTTCCGATACATTTTGTGAACCTGTGGCGGGACTGTTCCTGTCACTGCTGGGGTCTGAAAGAAAATAACAGCAAAGCGTTTGGTACCGATGCCTTCCGCGGCGCCGTGACACCACTTAGCACTCTTCAGACTTCATTAGTGACAAAAACAAACAACTGTTAAAGCAGTCAGCGAAGGCTAACCGGAGCTTTTGTTAATTTAACTGCGAACAAGGAGAGTTACGGGTTAGTACTGGTGCTGCTCTGTTCGTTAGCTGTGTTTTGGTCCAAGCCGAAAGCATCTTTACGCTCTTCTTGTCATGGGGCATTTTACATTTCCCCCAAGCCCAATTCATAATGTTTCGGTTACGCTACTTTCTTTCCAGTAGAAAAAAAAAAATATTGTAGGTGGGGTTGTTGGCTGGTTTTTTTTAACAGTTTCCAATAAAGAGGGCCTTTAGGAAACGGTATTTTTCTTTTAAGTCTTTTGAAAGAATTGCCTTCCAGCTGTGGGAGGCCTTGTTTCAAAACGCAGAGAAAGTAGAATTGATTATTAAGTTTTCACCTTGTAAAATAACATTTTGAAGGTGTGAGAATTAGACTGTAATCATGCAATTTCCATTTCGTTTTAAGACATTACTTAATCTCGCTTAGTTCTACCACTTTATGAGAAGTCCTAGGGTAGATTTTGGTTTTGCCACAATGATTTGAACAACGATGACAGAAGTTATGGTTTTTTCATATCAAAGCAATGGAAAGATATTGTAATATGTAGGATGGCTTTGATTAAAACCTAATCTCCAGTTCATTATTTTTAATGTAGGATTTCAGGTAAAATACAGCTGAGGTACCTCTGGGAGACAAAATGCAAAGCAGAGGGATAAAAGCCACCCCAAAACTAAACCTGCGCTCTAGCTAAGCTACGATGACTCACGTCACGTGTAAGGGATGTTTATGACTGATTCATTACAGACGTGGCAAACACTAGAGTAGCTGCGCCGACTTAATGCGAGCGTCGCTTCTGCTTGCCGATTCTTTTCTTTGTTAGAGTAACTTCTGCAGGGCAGCTCGGCTGGCGTCAGCTATGCTTCCCGCGGGCTTCCTGCCGCTCGCACCGAGACACCCGCCTCCAGGTGGACTGTCCGGACGGCAGCGACTGGAAACCCTCACAAACACTTGTGGAGAAGGGTTATTTTTCTAGTTTTCTCCTTTTTGTCTTCCCTCCCCCAAGCCAAACACTCTACATGCTCGCTCCTCCTGCCATCACGCCTCGCATTTGATGGCACTTCCACTCCTTAGTTTGGGAGGGTCAGTGTGTGCATGGGCCACGTTTTTGGTGATTTCCAGGTGAAACCCGTGTTGCAACTCACGTGTGTGCATTTTTGCTTATTAGCTTTTTCAGGCAGCAGCCGGGGACCACACCGCTTTTCCGTAGCTGTAAGCACGTGGCTTGCGGCAACCTGGCTATCGCACAAGGTACCGGCGGGGTTTACGCGTGTCCTGTGGTGTACTTACATAATTCAGGGGACGCAGGGTGCTCGGAATGAATTGCTGTACATATAAAATATAGCGAAGCGGAAAGCAATGTGAGGGAATTAGGCCACAGCACAAAAACACCTAATATTGATTTTAGCTACAAACCGTAGTTTGATTATGGCCCATAAGGTAGAAGCAAGACTCCCCGAGCTTGTCATTTCTCATACATGCAGCGATATTAGGAGGTATCATCGCTGAGGAAGGAAGAGCCCAGCACCAAGAAAAGTAAGAGAAAGAGAAAGAGAAAAGTAGAAAATTTAGATTCCCTATAACAAAGATGAAAGAAAGAAAAATCTTCATATTTTATCTTAGAATAAAGAAAGTTTATTTTTCCAGTCAGATTGTCTAGGCTTCACCCAAATATAAGGCTGCAAAGACAGCAGTTGTTATTATCGTGACATAAAGAGACATCTAAGAGGTGATTCAATAACCCAGACAACGAGAGCATCCATTCTAAAAGACAGCTGGAACAGCGACACAGAATGTCATAGAAAAAACATTAACAATCAAACAACAACGAAAAATAAAGTCCACCAGAGACCACAACATTAAAAATAAGTACAAAACTCATTACAAAAATATACAGCCTCATAGAGAAGCACGTTCCAATCGAGTCAGAAAAATATTGGAACTTAACATTATTAGAGGAACCATTTGCGACTGCAGCGAACAGAACGAAGAGAGGAAGGAGTCCCAAATGTTACAAGGATATTCTTTACAGTAGTGCAACCCCTGTCTATTAAATCCTTGCTTGGAGGATGAACGTTTAGTGGTTTAGCATTAGCCAAAAGGAAATTGGTGGTGTATTTCCATCCTCAGTGCAACAGACATATGCTTTGAGAAGTGAAGCACTTAATTTACAGGGTATTTATGCAGTCTAGCGTATGATACAGTACTGTACATCCAAAGGAGTATAGGAAAAGACAAAGGTAGAAAGAACATTACAGGATTTCAGTGCCATCATTGAACCTTCTGGTGTGCTATTTATAGTACAGAAGTGTAAACCCACAACTTCCTTTCCGTATCGTTAAACACTTCAACTGTTTGTTGATTATACTCTGAATTGGTCATTTTTAAGTTAAATAATGAGCAGAGTGAGCAGAAACTCTCAAACGTGTTACAGTAAATGAAAAGAAAATCTAGTTCATAAATTGTGCAGAAGGGTGTGCTTCTGATTTTAGGACATGGAGTGAATGATAAACACAGAACTTACTGACAGAGAAATAACCCAAATACGGGGAGGAAAGTATAAAGGACATCCCTTCAATCATCAGTTTCTATAGAAACCTCAAAGACCTTTGGTTGGGAGGAGCCCTCCATCGAGGGCACAATATTTGACAATTATCTCAAATAAATAAGACATAATTATAATATTAAATGGTGGGCTAAGTTAAGCCACCCAGCAATCCAACCTCCGGGGGAAGAAAAGGAAATCTAACGCAACTCTTGGCAAGAAACGAGGACGGCGTGTTTCCCCCGAGACAGACACGAGAGCACCTTTTCATAACCTCCTCCTCACCTTTTCAGACCTTACAGATTAACGAGTTGAAACCAGCAGACAGTTTAAGAGGAAGAAAAGGGCTCAGGAGGCCAAAACAATATATTTTTGCAGTAAAGCTTTCTTCTTCTTCTTCTTAAATAACTTTATAAATATTTACATAAATATTAAGGGAAGGCAAAAATCTCATAAGCCATCTTGGCATTCATGTCTATGGATACAGACAGGAACTAAGGGAAAAACCTAACCAAAAAAAAAATAATCACTGCTTCAGAATGATAACTCAGGATCCCAGGTTTTGCATTGATTAGAAGTAGAGACCTATTTGAAACAACAATTCAGCCGCTGAGAAACAGTTTGGCACAGTTCAGTGACATTCCTTGTTTGGCTGGACAAGACAATAAGGTTTTTTTTGTTTTGTTTTGTTTTCCTCTCTGATCACCAAAAATACTGCTATGATGATCTTGCCTTACACTGCGCCCCAAGTCCATGGAAGCAAGCAAAGGATGAAATGTGTAGAAAATTCAGCACAAGCGAGGCAATTAACCTTATGTTGCAAAGGTTGGTAAGACACTGGTGAGAAAGGAAAATAAGAAAAGAATTCCCGCTTCAGATCTTGAGACAAATCATTCATGGAGTGATGCCAGGGAAGAAAGGAATGTTTTCATAGTTTGACCCACCATATTCTGGGACAGAGCCATCTCCACGTTTCAGAAACAGGCGGACCCTGCGGCCACCGTTTTTAATCAGTTCGATGGCCCGAGCGTGCTTCATGTTCTTGGTAGTTTCTCCGTTGATCTCTAAGATTTCGTCACCGATCTGTCAATGTAAGAAAAGATTCTAAGATTGGAAACAAGCCTTCACGAGGCCCGCCACCAGCACATCACAAGACAACAGCCACAGCAAAGGTGGAGTAACAACTGAAGCGAAATGCGCCCAACTCCTTCCAGTGGCAGTCCACAAAAACCAATACGCAGGGGCCTGGCAAACATGAAGATGACAAGGAAAGCTTGAGGTATCAAAATATTTCACTGCTGTTCTGTAAACCTAGAGTTTATTTTACTTTGATTACTTGTAAAGTCTTTGGTCAAAGTGGTTGTTTTACAGTCTGCTGTGACTGGGATCTTCAAAGAGCTTTTCCAGGTACATTACTCTCTTGGATACAGATACCTACTAAGAGCCAGTAAACCTGCTTTTGTAAATACAATTGTTTATCATGATAGGAAAATGGGGCTTGGAAGAGTTTGTCAAAGCACTGACTTCCACAGGGCAGCACTGATTTACTTTCATCAGCAAAGATTTTGGACCTATAAATCTACCCCTAGCAAAAGAATTTTGAAAATGTCCTTTGCGTGACAAATCTGGAGAAGAAGAAGACATATGCTGTAAAGTTATCACGCATTCTCTGACAGAGGAGCAAGGAGCACATCAAACTTAGCAATTCCGTTTTTTTCTGTAGGCATTTTATAACATATGGCCTTGTTGCGATGTTTATAATTTAGCTCAGATGTGAAGTTAACAGTTAATACTAATCAAAACTTACATTATAAATCTGTAACCCATGGGTCCATATACGTGCTTCCTCACCGCTCTGCCCACCAGCAGAGGAGAGGATCAGGTGGAACACCCCGATCTCTCCTCGGGGCTGCAGCTTTAAAGGAGCTGATGAAGACTGTGGCTGTTAAATTTTCACTGCTAACATCTTTCTTAGGCTTTAAAAATCAGATTATGTATTAGAATTTAGAAACCTGGGTTGGAACAAGGGGGTGAAATCTTCCAACGGGCACACAGTTATAGACTGTACACAGAGTGACAGAAGCCATTAGCTGAAGTAAACAGGAACCACTGCTCCTTTCAGTTAACATTTAATTTTCCTCTCAGCTGGCACAGCAGAAGGCCTGCCCACAGGGGAGAGGCCAGGAAGTCAGCTTACTTCAAAGAAGAGTGGGTTTTTAAATCTGTGCATACCCTCATCTTCCCACATCTCTCAGCTGGACCATCCTCAGCTAGCCGCAACACGTACAGATCCATGTTATACTCCCGGCCACCTCGCAGGCTAAAGCCAAACCCTTTGGCTCCTCTTTCCAGCTCAACAGTGTAAAAATCTTGGTCCTGCTGGAGGGAAGACAACATATGCCCAATTGAACAGAAAGTTAAATGCTCTACTCTCATTTTCAAACTACTCAACCAATGAATGTTATTATTTTGTTACTCATAATTAAAGAAAATCACACATGGACCAGGATTGCCAGTTTCCTCCGATTTCACACTGCAATTTGGAGTGCCAAGAGTGGTCGGCAAAAGGCTGCTTGAACAAAGGGGCTTGGCCATGTCCCATTCGTAGGGACCTCTGTTCACCACCACCTCCTGTGCCCATGCAGAAAGGCTCGTTGCTGGAGGGTGGCTGGTGTTCTACCAACTGCAAAGGAAGGCTAGGGCAGCCCCACTCCCAGGGCCAGGCTTTGGCTCCACATCTAGTGGTACCTGGGGCGAGTCTATGCCGTGGGGCTGGCTTTTCCTGCGTGTTACCACCTCATCTATTCCTTTGCATGAAACGCAGAGGCATGTGAATAGTTTTCCACAAATGCTGTTAGCGTAGGGATATTCTGGAGTCCCTAAAGGAAGAGATGACTCCTGGGATGGCCAGCGGCAAGAAAAGTTGATAGATAATCTCTCTACACCATCTACAAAAGCTGGAACACTCCAGTTATTATTAATTTTTACTCTTTTTTGTCCTCTGAATTTATTATTTACACACAACAGTGCTTCCTGGAGAGGCCCCTCAAAACATACAATTCAATAAACAAAGACATAAATTATTACTGTTGTAAAAATCTCAGCTTTTTTTCTCTCTCTCTTTTCTTTTTCTTTCCTTCCCTAAAAGTGCTAACAAGAATGTGTTGGAAATATTTATCAGCTGAAACAACAGCAACACACACTAAGAAACTAATCAGCAAATTCCTCTTTCTCCAGCAAACAGACTGAGGGGGAACAATCTCCCAGTAGGAATTTTCAAGGGAAACAGCCCTCAAGCAGATTGGAAGCAACAGCCTATGGTAAACAAAACAATTAGAAAGGTATTCCTTACCTGCGCTGCTTGGGGCGGTTTGAAGTCAAACTGGGATTCCTGCTTTGGTTTGGTGGTGTTCCTGCTGTAATGAGTGAGAGGAAGAGAGGAAAAATACAGCTCATGGGATGTGAAGATGATCAAGAGGAAACCAAAGAGAGAGCACATCAACATGCTCTCCTCAAGGAAAGCAATCTGACCTGGTCTCCTGTGGTATTTGCTGAGGAGTGTGTGTGGTCGTAATTGTAGCAATTTTTTCTGCGTTGGTCAATAAAGTAGCATTGGATGATTCTGAAAAAGAAATATTTTTTTCGTTATGAGGGGAGATCATTGGATATTCACTGAAAAAAAGTTTTGCAAAGGCATTTCACTGGAAAGCATCATTATGTTGGTTCTAAAGAACTTGGGATTGGCTCAAAATTCTGAAGTCCAAAAATCAACAGGACAAAATCTAAGCTAAGTCACTGTAATTATGTATATGAAACTGTACAGTCAATTGGAAAAAGAAATGGGAAATATGGATTAGAAACGCCTCTGACCATCAGGGACACTCAGAGTGAAGACTGACTTGTGGAGGACGGCTTGAAGGATGCTCTATCTGTTGTCTACCCACATGAATTCCAGTCATTAAAGTCTCCAAATATCATAGGCTGGCTGGATTAATTTTACAGCAGCAATAACTATTCCATGGATTATAAACTTAGCAGTGCTTCCTCCATCAGGCACTGCAATCTTCAGTAGGAATGAGATGTGGCTTTTACGTAATACCTCACAAGGTGACATTGAATGTGGCTAAACCCCAAATTTACTGAAATCCACCTTTGAAATGATGATCTGTAGAGATCCCTTCCAACCCCTACCACCCTATGTGTGTGAAATATAACCCACTGCTGCCCGGACATCCAAAGCTGCATGCAGGAGTGTGGAACCTGTACCACAGGCATCAACAGCTCTGGGTACCATTTATGAAAGGGCTCACCAAGAGAACGCAGAGAGCAGGACTAACTTCAAAAACCAACTTATGCCACCGTAAGGGGCTCTCAGCCTGACATCAGCCTGTGTAAATGCCATATTCCTCTAGGCACAGGAGGTGCTTCCAGGCGACTTCAAAAAACAACTTATGCCACCATAAGGGCATAAGCCTGACATCAGCCTGACATCAGCCTGTGTAAATGCCATATTCCTCTAGGCACAGGAGGTGCTTCCAGGCGAGGTCCTCTCTCCTGCTTCGTAAAACTGGGAAGGGAGTTGCCCTCGGCACAACAGAAAGGTGTCCCTCACATGGCAAAATGGTCCCCTTGTCATTTTGGAGCTTTATCATAAGACTTCAGTAAGACCAGAATTAACCCTGAACTAATTTAAAATTCAGCCTAAAATTAAGGTCAGACACCTTGTTCCCTGGCTGAATTTGTCTAGTTCCAAACCCAGTTAAAAAAAAGGCACCATCAGACAACAGCAACAAAAAGCGGGTGGGAACACCTGGCTCTCCAACATAAAATTACAAGGTCTTCTACCCTGCCCTTGTTTGCCACCATAGCTCCAGGCAGCTGGTAATTCGTTCTATTGACTATGGAGAAATCTGCCGTTATTAAAGAGCCCAGCTGCAATACAAAATTGCAGAAATTAGGGGTTTTTTTTCCTGAATTAAAGAGAGGTGGTGCTCATGGGCTACCTTGGTCTTGGGAACTTATTTTGTCGTGGATTTACTTTAATTGTGGAGACATCTAGATGAGGTGAACGATTTTCCTCTCCGTAAAACTCATGAAAAGGGAAAG